GCATCCCCATGGAGCCAGATGATACCCCAAGGTTAGAAGTATTCACCACCCACTCATACTATTCAGTTTTCAAAACCAAAAGACCTAATTGGTAACTCAAGATGTTCCTCCCCTTCAAAACGAACAATGTTGCAAGAGGGAAAATGTTAGAAAGATATCACCTCAACAACACCAAAATTCACTTCTTCCCTACTTATAGAATAGTCATTGCTAAAAATAGTTCTTCAAAAATAGGTTAAGACCAATACGTTGCATCCTTTTCTCATCATCGTTCTTCAAAAATAGGTTGAGACCAAGCTCTTTAAAACTTGCAGATTTCATGAAGATTATGCAAGAAAATGTAGGTGTAAATAACAATGTCATAATTTCATGCCATGCATGTTGAATTTAAGGCCAAATTCCTTCAATTCCTTACTAACTTAGCTTGCATGGTCTAATTTGTCAATTCTAACATTAAAGCTCCCAATTAACCAAGAATTCATTCTAATTAACCCTTTGTCTTAGAAGATGATGAGTGTGGGAAGTTCAATTTCAAGAAATTTGAATGAAACTCTTACCTTAAATTGATGAATTGAGAAGAGCTAGTTGTTGTCTTCAATATTCCTCCTCTCCCTTTTCTTTTCTTCTATCCCTTCTCTTTGTTGAATTCTCCAAATCTCTCCCTCTCTCCTGTCTCTCTCTCTCTCTCTACGTGTATGACTGACAAGGTGCAAGAAAACCCACTACACTACTCCCCTACATTCAATTGATGATGGTACACTAACTCTTTTCTCATACATACATTGGACCTAAATTAATTAGGTTAATAAATTAATTAAATCAACTTCACTCCAACTAAATTAATCTCCATCATTTATGACTTAATTCAACCTAATTTTAATTTTGCTAATGTGAATTAAGTTCTAATTTCTATCCAATTATTTAATTCTAACTTGTTAAAATTAACGAATCAGACGAAATCAGTTTTCAATTAAACATCCCAAATGGCTCTAAAAATTCCCATAAACCCATCCATGTACTCAATTTCAATTTCTGAACCTAGTAAGGCCGTCAATTTCAATTCCAAAGTTGTATTTCAACGTATAATTTCCCAATTTGGACAGATATATACACAAATTAAATCATATAATCCGCAATTAACACATGGATAATTCAAATAATTATAATTTGCATTTTTGGGGTGTTACAGTGTGGCAGCTTAGCTTTAGAAGATAGTTATTAGTTTGGGAAGCTGAGGAGCTGCAGAGATTGATGGGTCTGTTGGAAACATCTACAACGGTTAGCTCTGATTGTGTTGAGTCTTGTTCTTGGCTAGCAAACAGTTCAGGGCAGTTTTTCAATCGCCTCTGTGATAAGATGGTTGGATGCAGCAATAGGGCCTGGCCAGGTTGTACCTAAAGGGGTATGGGTTGGTTTAGCTCCGCCAAAAGTGTAGTTCTTTTGTTGGTTGGCTTGGAGAGGCAAAGTTCAGACTTCAACCTTCCTTCAAAGGATTGAGGTGCTAGATGCATCAGCAAATAATATGTGTCTTTTTCCAAGCAAAGGTGGAATCCTTGAATCATGTGCTCCAGTTTTGTCCACCGGTTTGGAAGTGTTGGTCTCAAATGGTAAGATGGAGGGATCAAGTTTGGGCAATCCCTGGATCAGTTCAGGGCCTTCTGCAGTGGTGGCCTACTGGTAAGAGTAAGCACTGGGTTTCCAGACTATGGAAGTTAGTCCCATCTGTTATGTTATGGTTTGTATGGAGATTACGAAATGAATGTATTTTCAAAGGGGTACAACCTATTTTTGATGAATTTTGTGATAAAATAAAGGTGCAAATTGCTATGTGAGTAAAATAGAGTTTGGAGGTTGATTATTCAATTGATGATATTGTTTTCAACTCCAATTTCAATTGATGATAAGGGTAGTGATATACAAACATAAATTCTATACAAAATTTCTATACAGAAAGATATAATCCTTCATTTTCCTTTTACTTTCAACTAAAACATCTTTAATTATTATTTATAATTTCAAAATTGCCGCTATCACATTATATTGGTTGATATTCCTTTGGTATTTTTTTTTTTTTTTGTTTCTTTATGTAATTATTAATCAAACATGCATGCTATGGACAATCATCAGTGAATCAATTGATTCTACTTGGAAATACATTCTTAATGCTGCTTTTTCGTTCAATAAATACCACACTAGTTTGCCTCCAAGGGATGCACATCACTCCTTTCATATGATAAGGGCAATACAACATTTTTTTTTTCCCGACCTGACCAATATAACAACAACACTTGCCCCTATTAGTTTGTTTGTTTGTTTTTTTTTTTTAATCTCTCTCTCTCTCTCCCCTAATTTTTATCTATGTAGTTAGACTAATATTCTATAAGCCAGTGTTAGATTGAAACAATGGACATGTGACAATGGGTACAAGTAATGGGTACAAAGAAGGTCTGAAACCCAATACATTAAAAAGAGAATATTACACAAGTCATCTTATTTATATCCACACAAATACACCAAAAAAGGATAAAATAAAATAAAATAAAAACAAGAGTTCAATAAATTGTCAACCTGCCATCCTCTCTCAAAGTAGACAACTCTTGTTATTAATTTGCATGGATCCTAGTCTATGGTTTAATTTGAACCATGTACTTCATAACAAATAATTTTGAATATTAATTAAGAATATATTAGTACATCTAAGATATTTGAAAAATTGTATGCAAATATGAATTTTAACGATTCAATACAATTTTGTTTTTATTCATAATTCATATGTTTAATTGTCTCTCGAGTATAAGGCATTTCTGTAATTATTTTTTTGCCTGCCACCTCTTTGTATAATAGTTATTACTAATTATATATTATTGGAAGTACATCAAAATATCATAATATTATAAATAATCAAAATTGTCAGATGTGTGAAGAGAGAGACTATGAAAACTAAGAGGTTGTTAACAAGATTTCATTTGTGTACTTTTTTTTTTTTTTTTATAATGAATTTTGAGTGTTTGTCTTGTATTATGTTCTTTAATATAGAAAAAGAAAAAAAAGAAGTTATTATGCATGCAACATTCTTAAGTGGACTCAAAGGCAATAAAAAGAGTTTGTTCCATTTGGATGATAACGAATATTCAATTTGTTTGGAAACATTTGTTTGTAAAAAAGGTTATTTAAGAAAATAAAATAAAATTGAAGGTGGTTTATATTGCCTAAATTTTGGGGTTTAGATGTTGATAAAAGAACTTACAATGAGTTGTTCATGTGTGAAGAAAAAGACAAGGCTTAAATCTTCAAATTTTAACTTGTATTTGTACCATTATAGAAGTGTCGAAATTATGCTCTCTTCAGGTCTCAGATTTAACTCTTATCAAGTATTATCAACTCTTTGGGGCTATGACCGCGCACTCTACCAGAAAATTTGTCCGATTCATGTAGAGGGACTCTCTCGAGATTAGTTGAAGTGTGCATAAATTGATCCGAATACTTGGTTATAAAAAAAAATTAAATAAATAAAACCATGATATCAATCATCATGGTTATATCTACAATCTTCTCACTTTATATTGGTCTCGTTTGAGAAGTATTTATTTTTTAGATTTTTTTGGCTATTTAACTATTTTAATAGATTATTTTAATTTTTGTATTTAAGAAGGTGAGTTAGATTTTTTTGTTAGATTATTGTGTTGGTAAATGTGTTTAAAATGATTCGGTATGCTAAAGGACCAAAATGCCCCTGCAAGTGAGCAGGTCTTTTTCCAAGAAAAAAAAAGTTCCTTCGCTGACGTGGCAATCCACATCTTCCAGGGACACTGTCAGATAACTAGATTTTGAATTGCTTTTCAAAGTCGCTGCTGAATAGTTAATGGGTTGGTCAATTATTCAAGGGTAAAATCATCTTTTTATCCTCTGTGAGTTAGCAGCTATCAACCACAAATTCTAATTCACCAGTAATATTGGCTTTTAGAGCATCAACATCAAGCTCTTCAAATTTTTAATTAAATTAGAGTTCAAAAAGTTATTTTGTTATTTTGGCTAGTTAATCATTGCATCAAACTCTCTATTCTAATTTAATTATATTAAAATATTATTTTGTTATTATATTTTTTATCCTTTTTTTATTAAATTGATGAGCAGCAACCAAATAATTTCTAAAAAAAAAAAAAATTTGTCGTTGACCGGTTAATCGGCCAGACGTCTGGCCAGACTTTCGGGCGGACGTCCGGTTACACTCAAATTGTGTGTTATAGCGATGAACAGTTACTCGCTTCATCAGAGGAGTTACTATAGCAAATTTAACAAAAAGTAAATTTAGAAAAAAATTGTTGAGATTGATAAAGGGAGAATTTGATGATTTATTAGTTATATTTTAACTTTTTGTTATTTGAAAGAAGCTGATGTTGATGCTGTTAGGCCTTTTTTTCAAGAGGCTAAAATAGCCTCCAAAAGTTGTTCCCAAACACAGCTAATATTGTGAAACGAAGTGGAAGAAATTTAAAATCATTCATATGTAATTGACTCTAATTTCAATAAAATAAAATAAAAACATGTATTATCATCTAATTTTAATTCAAAAAGTTAATAGATAACCGTCATCGCATGTGACTATTTACTAGTAAGTTTAAAACTGTAAATCCCTATTATTTGCTGATAAAATATCAGTGAAAATTAAAGATGACAAAAAAAACAAAAACAAAAAACTTGGACAACAAACTCTTTAACTCTATTTCGTTTGTATTCAAAATATGTTTTTCAATTTTTTTTAAATTAACAATTAATTTGGATAAAGAAATAAAAAATAAAAAATACTTATAATTTTATTTTTTTTGAGGATAGAAATAATTTTCAAAAATTTTAAAATATATTTTTATCAAATTAATTTAAAAACAAATTAATTCAGAAAACAAACTCTCAAAATTGAACCAAACATTTTCAGGTCTCAATCTTCTCTCAACAAACAACTGTGCAAGAAGCTTAGAAGAGAAAAGGAAGAAAACAAAGGAATGTCGGATTGCAAGACTACCCGTGAAGTCTTTGCTTGGATTCAGGTCAGTCTCCAAATCCTGGTACTCCTTCATTACCAACCCAATTTCTGATCAAGTAGGAATCTCAGAATCAAGAGCACTACATTTCATGTTTCGATGGCAAAACCTATAGCGATGATGAGTATGTGGAGCTTTTTCAATCCCCATTTCACAACTCCGAGAAATCATTAGACATTGTGGGTTCATGTAATGGGCTTGTTGTGCTTAATGGAATCTTTTTTATGCCCATTCAATTCAATTTGCTTCTATGGAACCCATCAATTTGTTCTAGGGACAGTGGAGCTTTATGTTATGTTAGCACTCACTCTTGGAGATCCATTTGTGTTGCTGATTTTTGTCATGATACATTTTATCGCGCACCCTTTGTGTTTGTGAACGGGGCTGTTCATTGGATTGCGTTTGTTCGTAATTTAGCGATTTTGATGGTTGTGGTTTTTGATATGGGTGATGAGGTGTTTAGGGACATGGCTATGCCGAACCATCTACTTAATTTAATACCTACTGCAAGGATGCAGGCTATGGTATTGGGTGATTCACTTGCAATAATTGACTCCGAACAAAATATAAACCATAAGACTTTCCACATATGGGTAGTGGAAGAATGCGGTGTCGTGGAGTCATGGGCTAAACAATTCACAATAATTCTAGAGGAAGAATTTTTGAGAGTAGCGGGTTTTAGGAAAAATATATGGTGATGTGCTAATGATTGGAGATGAAGAGAATGAGCTGGTTTCATATGATTCCCAAAGCCAACAGATCAAGCATCACGGAGTCCATGGCTGTTAGCTTATGTTGTTACTTACATAGAGAACTTAGTTGCATTAGAAGGAGCTAATGGACTCAGGAAAGCTAATCCCATTTCTCCTGACACAGTTGCCGAAATGGAAGCATCAAGGCCAAGCAGAAAGAGGCAAGTTGATTATCCTTCACTTGTACTTCAGAATTTGACTACTTAATTGTTATAGTATGTTCTTCTTAGATTCATGGTAATGGCATGAACTACCTATAATATCAACATCAACCTTGCATATTTTTAATTTTTTTTCTCTGTCCGGATTGCAATATTGTTATCATAATTGAGTGGGTATATGCATGATTGCTTACATAAAATTTCTTTTTCATTTTAAAGTACCTTTGTGTATATAAATATAAGGTCAAGTGGGGTACTGATATTCTGCTCATAACACCTTACATTTTTTATATCTCATTTGGGTTGACTACTTTGACAGAGTTGTTGGTGGATCATGGGATCAACTACAAGAAAGGAGGAACAGCTTACAAACAGAATAAATGGTAGGTTCGTGTAGATGATTGCCTTTTCACATATTGTCCATAATTATAGGTTGTCATGTACTGCTTTCTTCTGATGTATTGTATCTGTTGATTGGAAAACAGGGTAAAAGGATTAAGTTATATTCATATATGTTTGTCACTCTCTACTTTTGTAATCATGGATAATTTTACTGTTTGGAAAATAACATGGGTGAAAAATTACGAAGCAGACAATCATAATTTTGAAAAATGTTTCTACAAATATATACCCAAAATGTTCAAATTACACAACCTTGAAGCCATATGTGGAAACTAATCGTAGCTCAAAGAATATGCCTACTCCATGACATGCTAACATGGACAAAACTTGTCTTCATTCAACAATCTCTCAATTTCATAATAATCCCTATAGAAAACATAGAAAGAAATATTGTCTTTCTAAGTAGTCAAGAAACAAACTAACATAGCTATTCATTTAACTATACGAAGAGGATAAGGAGAAAGTGGCCTCACTCTTGATTTATAAGACAAAGAGACCTAATCAAATAGGAAAATAAATATTGATAGATAGGAAACCAAATATTAATAAAATCTTTAATAATAACCTAATACGAATTTATTTATTTATTTTGGATAAAAAAAAAGCAACTTTATTAGGAAAGCATCATAACCTAATCCATATTAATTCCTAAAAATCCTAAGTTCCCAAATAAATTTGATTCCTTCCTCATCCAACTCCTTTCTTGCCCACATCAACTCCTCTCTCCTCGTTGACACAACAAAGGTAAGGGAGACAGGGGAATACAAAGACAATAAAATAAACACAAAGAAAATAAATTTTTTGATTAAATTTTGTTAGAGATTATAGAGACAGGCTTAGGGTTTTTTTAGGGTTCAAGTTAGTCCAAAAAATGCCTACAGTCATTCGATGAAGAAGAAAAATTAATAACAATGCCTGTGCAAGTTATATGACTTACTGGATTTCTTTTTTGCAAAACTACTTTTACGTGCATTATTTAGGTAATGTTTTGGTTGTCTTTGCCATAAATACAAGCTAGTCACATTACTTAATCTAAAATAGATCACAAAAGCATAGTATATACATTTCAATAATGCTAAAAACTTACCTAACAATATAAAACTTATCGCGATATATTGCCTAATCAACTTCAGTTTCCTTGTCCCCTTCTTTTCTCCGTTCTCCGCTTCTATTGTTTCCTTCCAAAGGTCTTTATGAACCATTCATAATACCTTGTGGTCAATGTGTGCCCAATAAATAACCGTCCCGATCGCTATTCCAATCACATATCCCATGCATATGACAATCCAATCAACTGTACTTTTGAACACTGAATCATTATCTTGTTTTGAGTTCAATGGTGGTGATGATGGTGGTGCCTCTGACATTCCACATTTCCTTCACAAAGGATCTTCGCACAATCTTGGATTCCACTTAGAGGAATAGTTCTCAAATGTTAAATTGTTTCCCTTGTGGATTGAGTCTGGTGAGATGGTTATTTGAAACATTTAAGAAAGCAAGAAAGTAAGAAATGCTAGTTGTTGAGAGAATTCTGTTGAGAGCTTGTTTTGAGAAAGGTCCAACGATTCAAGGTTTGTTAGCTTCCCCAAGCATGTTGGGATTTGATCACTTGTATAATTGTTGGAAAGGTTGGGTAGCTGGAGCCCCTTAAGTTTTTTAATAGATTCTGGAATTTCCCTTTAAATTTGTTGCTTGATAGACCAATTGTCACGCCCCGAAAAAAATCCAACATGAACTACCCACATTAATTAGCATTCATTAGACCACAACAATAAACCTTCCATCCTTACATAATCAAAAGAGAGTTTATACAAAAGTTCACATGCGGATATATATTCAATGATAAATAAATCACGTGAATCTATAGCATGTGAGGCATCTAATCTCAAAACAATAAAATGCCCTTATGGGCTTACATCTTCCAAGGTAATAGCCCGGTTTCACAAAATGATTTCTCGGACCCATACATGTTGGGCTTTACAAAAATTATATCAAAAAGGAGAGCTATTTACTCTTCACAAAAACATCCACGCCCTCAGTTCGATGGGATCACCACATCTTTACCTGCACCAAATCCCATAGGGGTGAGCACAAAGCCCAATCGAGAATTCTTACAAAGTATATATAGTTATGCATACTCTTAAAACAATGCAAATGTTAATGCCATGCCATGCATCCTTTAAAGAAAATCCATTTCATGCACATTTTAAAGATTTCTATCTTTCCAACAATCATTTGCAATATCAACATTTTCCAAAGTTTCCAATCATTAATCAATAGGGGCGGTAAATACGATACTAGTAATCCCTAGACTGGTGTCTGCAAGTAGACTATACAAGTACTATCAAATTGTCATTTTTACTGGTATTAACCGGAAGGCTCGACACCTATCCGCGCGGCTTTCTGGTCTTTCACCAAGGATACTCAGGCCAACTTAACAAGTTCCACTATGCCCCCTATCCGGACTCACCAACGTATTTACCCCTTAGACATTCCATAGTTCTCATCACAATGCCATTTTCTTAGTGTAAATGTTCTACAATTCATGCCAAAATGTACAATAATGATAATAATTCAATTGAAAACATGATGCAATAATTATCGCTTCATAACATCTCTCTATATTCAACATATCTCTACAACAATGACAACAATCACATTTCATTTCATTCTTTCCATGTTCTTCCACAAGATAACCATGTGTCATCCACACATAGTTACGATTTCTCATTTCACAAGCCTTAACAATTTTGTCCCTTCAAGATTCATATGATGTTTTCAATTGTTAATCTACAATTATTACAATTCTCACAACACATGGTGCACAACAATTTGTCATCCAAAAACAACACATGTCCAAGCGTTAGCAATAATGTTAAAACAACATCTCATTCTCATAAATCATGTAAGTTGCTATTTGTTAAATATTTGATGAAACTAACTCTCATCCATTCTCTTGATACAAGAAAATAAGGAATTTCAAAACCCTTTTCTATTTTTCCAAAACGCCCAAATTTTCTAGGGTTTCCATCAAAACTAACATTTTTCCCATCTCTTTATGAAACCCAACCCAAAATCACATTCTCTTGAGTATTATAGAAAAAAAAAACATCCCCATGGATAAAAAGAATGAAGATTCAAAACCTTTTTTTTTATTTTTATAAAATGACTCTACATTTGGAACAAATCAAAAATCACACAGTGTTGATGAAGAAGATGGAGTAGAAACCCTAGGATTCAAGGATGAGAGGAGGCTTAATCTCTACCACCACAAGTGGAACTCTAGCTCTAGATCTTCAAGGTTGTGAGGGATGATGATGATGATCAAACCCAATGGAGCAAGGATCAAAGATTCTTGATGCTTTGGTTAGGGTTTTTAGAGAGAGGGATGAGGGAAAATGTTTTTAGAGAGAGAGAGAGAGATGTTAGAATGAGATACAAACACCCCCAAAAATGTAAAAAAAAAAAACAAAGTTTTCGAATTTGCCCCACCTCGCACGTGCGGCACGTGCCCTCACACGTGCGGCTGTCCTCTCCCACACGTGCGGCACTGATCTCCCCACGTGCGGCTGGTCCTGCACTCTCCCTCTGCACTTTCAATTTAAGCAGAATGCAACTCGAAGAAATCCCCTCTTCCCGCACGTGCGGCTTGGCCTCCCACACGTGCGGCCTAGGGTGTGCGGCCCTGGCCCAGCAGCCTAGAACTTTTCTGCTTCGCTCCCGGGCACTCCGGACTTGGCCCTGCACCTCCCGGAACCAATGAAGTTCAACCCCGACAACCAAAACAAAAACGAGAGCTTTAATTGAAAATGACTTCCGAATGTTTCAAATCCAATGGAAACAAAGAGAACGGAACCAAAGAGAAGGAAAAGGAAGAGAGGAAGAGACCTGGGCGTCACACCAATGGTAGTGAATATATCCAGGATCTCATTGTACACTATACTTACACCTTTGTTTGTATGGTCATTGAGTAGAAATAGCTTTCTGCCAACACATGTTCTTCCCTTATGGTAGCCTTCATATATTTCATCTGGTTCTCATCAAAAAATTTCATTGCATCCTAATCTTGAAAATATTTTGTTGGCAATTCCCCTATAAAACCATTATGACAGAGGTCAATGATGCGCAAATTTGGTAACACTAACTTAGTTTCAGGACTCCCTATTGCACCGTAGAATTTATTGGATGGCAAGATGAGAATCTGTGGCCCCGTTTCATTTGGATTTTCGAATGGGTTTTTGGGAGCCCAAAATTGAAAGCTCATTTGCTTATCTCTATTTCCAATACTATTTTAAATTTATTTGTATTTCCAAAGCTATTTCAAATCTATTCCAAATTTATCATTATTCCCAAGACTATTTCAAATTAGACTGATCTCTTTTTACCTAAATTATTCCAAATCTATTCCAAATTTATCTCTATTCCCAAGACTGTTTCAAATCAAATTTATTTCTATTACCAAAGCTACATTAATTGAAACGATATCTATGTTGAAGTATGCGGTATATCATATTTTCAAGTTAATTGAAGTATGCAACATCATATTTTCAAGTTAATCAACGTTACCTCTACGTTTTAAGTGTATTTAGATTGAGTGGATCTAAAAACTGGCCCAAAAAAAAAAATGTACATTTTTTTGGTATGTTGTTAGTATTTAATGATTTTTTAGAAGATTTTTTTTCATAATATGTTTAAAGTGTGTTTAGATTGAGTAAATCTAAAAATTCAAAATCATTGATTAAAATATTTAAAATGTTCACATAAATAATAAAAGACGGATTGAAATTCAAAACTTAATTTTGAAAACTCTATAGCCAAATAGAGTTTTAATTTTTTTTTTTTTTTCAAAATCACTAAACCAAATGAGTTTTCAAAATTAAGTTTTGAATTTCAACAAGTTTAGATATAGGTTAAGTTTTGGTTATACCCTCCTCATGAATAAAAGACCAAGTAATATTATACCCTCCTCATGAATAAAAGACCAAGTTTAGATATAGGTTAAGTTTAGATATAGGTTTTGGGTTTTAACCCAAGTAATATTATGTATTTCTAGGGTTTTGGTTTTATGTTCTCTATAGATTTTGTGTTTTATGTTCTAGTTTGTAGTTGAAATTTACATTCCTTCATTGGTCTTTGTCTTGTCTCAATTGTCTTTTTCCCTAAATGTCGAAGGAGTTCAGAAGCAATAGAAGAAAAATGTTGACAACAACGAAGAAATCGATGTCGAACGCTTGCGTACCTGAGGAAGTATTGATTGAAATTCTTGCTAGACTACCCGTGAAGTTGCTGAACCACACATTTTTTGAAGTCTAGCGGGGCGGCTTGGAGTCATGGCGGGGCAGTGCAGTATGGGTGGCGGTTTCAAAATGCCAACCCACGGGGCAGCGCACTTGGCATTCCAACCAAGTGTATTTTAATAAACATACGGTCACACACACACAATCACTTCTCATTTAAACCTAATTCACATTCTCCCTCATATAAGGTTACATATCACGCCTCTCGCCTCCCCCTTCCTCTCTCGTTGAGTAGCTGCTCACATTCGTGATCCCTCTTGCCACCGATCACTACTGGCACTCTCTCTCTATCTCTTAAATCTTTGAATATTGTATAGATTTTTATGGGATTTTGTATAGATTGTAAACTTTCCTACTTTTATTTGATTCAATCATTTTATGGGTATTTTTCAACTTTTTTTTTTTATATCATTTTCTTGTTCTATTTTTCTTTTTTTGCTAGTTTTGTTTGTTCAATGACATAAACTAATAGTTATTGCTAGTTTTGTTTTGCTAATTTGAAATTTTGGGGTTTTTTTTTTTTTTTTTTTTGACAATGTAACAAAGTTTGACAAATTGTTAGTATTGAAATGGATTAAGAAATGTTGAGTTTAAATTGATAAGATTAAAGTTTCAGGATTTGATTTGATATTATTGTCAAAATTTGAGATTTTTTTAAATAAATTTTTTAATTAAAATTATAAACTTTTCCATACATATCTAATAATTGTTTCAAATTATCACTACAGGTAATTTCTCTTAAAATATTGCTTGTTAATTAATTAATTTATTTATTTATTTTTGGGGTTCAAAATTGTTTCTATGATTTGTTTGGATAAGAATTAAATTGACATTTGATTTAATAAACATCCTACTAATGTGTATTTATTTTGGAAGAAATTAAAAGAAATAAATAAACCAAAAATTGGAGTTCGATTCTTATAGCAAAATATATTCTAACAAATTGTTTCTTGATTTATATAAATCATTTTTAATTTTGTTAATTTGCATTTTAATATTTTGAATTATTTTCAATGTAAATCATTCATCTATTTCTGTTAAATAAAATTGATAAAAAATAATATCTTAACTATTAAACTGAAAAAAAAGTATTTTAGACATTTTATATTAGTTTAATGGCTAAAATATCAAACTTTTTTTCTATTATTTTTACTTAAGAAAAAAATAAGTACATAGTTTAGGTTGGAAAAAAAAAAATTAAAGTTTAAATTGATATACTTATTTTTCTTTTCTTTTTTTTGGTATTAGGGTTAAATATTGTTTTTTTTTTCTTTGGTAATTTTTTTCCTTAAAAAAAAAAAAAATCTTCCAATTTATAACATGTCTTACTTCTATTTACTTTCTTTCCTTTCTTTGCCCTTTTCACCAAAGAGCGCTGCTACAGACCCCCAGTGACGTGGCAACACACCATTCGCCGAAAAAAAAAAAAAAAAAACAGTTTTTTTTTTTTTTTAGGCCAATGAGGGGCCAACACACACGACCCCCAGTGACCCCCACTGGGGGTCTGAGGCATTTTTGTTCACCAAAAGCAAACACAAGACTACGATGACGACGACGAACAAGTTCAGAAGCAAGAGAAGAAAAATGACGACGATGACGAAGAAATCAATGTTGAATGCTTTCATACCTGAGGAAGTCTTGATCGAAATCCTTGCTAGACTAGCTGTGAAATCTCTGCTTCGATTCAGGCCAATCTGCAAATGTTGGTACTACTTAATCACCAACCCAAGTTTCATCACCACACACCTTAATCGAACTAAATCAAACCACAGTCACAAACTACTCATCAAGTTCAACTATGAGAATCGAGATCGTTGCTTCTCATTTACTAATGATGAGACGTCTGGCAATGAGTTTGTGAAACTTGAATACCCATTTCAAAACTACGACGAATTGTTCAAGATTGTTGGTTCATGTAATGGCTTGTTGTGCTTATCAGATTATAATGGCTCAGACTATGCTGTTCTATAGAAGCCATCAATTAGGAGATTCATGACACTTCCTAAGTCTGGTTCTTCTGTAAACAAGGCTCATCGATTGCGTTGGTTTGATTTTGGATTTGGGTTAGACCACATGAGTAATGACTACAAAGTGGTGAAAATTGTGTGCGCAAAGGATAACCATCACCGCTATGTTGTGCATAGGGTGGAGCTTTTAGCACTGGTTCTTGGAGATCCGTTTGTATTGGTGATTTATGTTATGAACATTACGGTTTTGATTCCTTGCCTATGTTTTTGAATGGGGCTGCTCATTGGGTTGTATTTAATCTAAGAATGGATTGTGTTTGCATTTTGGCATTTGATATAGTCGAAGAGGTGTTTAGGGAGATAGCTTTGCGAAACCATCAAATTGATGTGATTCTCCGAATCGATGTGTCTATTACAGTATTGGGCAAGTCACTTGCTGTAATCCTCTGTGAAGCTGTTTTTACTTCTGTGAAAATGATTGGGACTAACCATGTATGGGTGAAGGAAGAATATGGTGTCATAGAGTCATGGACTAAAGGATGCAGAAAGATTGGGAAGCAAAGATGGTTGACATTATTGGGTTCTAGGAAGAATGACGATGTCTTAATGGTTCAAGATGGATTACTGGGGCCTCGGGAGTTGGTTTCATGTGATACAAAAAGCTACCAAATCAAGCATCTCGGGCTCTATGGCGACTCATTTTATGTTAAAACTTATATGGAGAGCTTAGTTGCACTAGATGTAGTTGACGGAGTCTAGAAATCACACGTGCGTCCCAATTTCTCTTGAAGGGTTTTCCAACAAGGAAGCATTGTGTAGTACTTTAATCGTTACAGTTTGCCACATTTAATTGTTATAGTTTGTCATTTTGTTGTTCTTAGATACTTTGTGTTGGATTTTCGAGTTACATATGAATAGCTACTTTGCATCAGTATTCTTTTTCCTAAATGCACTATTGTTCTCATATTCAAGTCGGGATATCAATTTAATATTTTGCGTCATATTGTTGTCAAAAGTATCTTTGTGTATGTAATAAAGTCAAGAGGGGAATTCATATTTAGATCCTAGCACGTTAACATTTTCAGTATCTCACATAGGTTGACTCCCTTTATAAAGGTTGTTGCGGGATCAGTGGATCAATTAAAAGAAATGAGGAAGAATTTAAAAGTAGAATAATGGTTAAATTAATAGAGATGGTGAAGGGACTGAATATGAAATGGGTTGAATCCAAGCCTTGGGCCGGCCCAATTGTGGACTCGCCTTTTTCTGCACCCCTGCCTTTCAAAAAGGTTTTGAAAAGAAGGCCTCATAGTTCGGACTCCCACGGTTCTGAATCTAGTCTTACAAGTGCAATGTGAAACTGATAAACAGCAAAGAGTCCAATCCGGCAAACCTTTTTGGAAAATCGATTTTAAATCAAATAAATAATAAAGTTCACATAAATAATAAAAGACCAATTAAGTTTTGAATTTCAACAAGTTTAGATATAGGTTAAGTTTTGAAATACCCTCCTCATGAGGGTATTTCGCTGGACGAAGGAAGCGGAGAGACCGAAGACACCTCTCATCTGTGCTTGATTGGAAAAATTTTCGGGTCCAAAATCCTGAACCGTACAGCGGTTTCAAATATCATCCGAGGGGCATGGAAAATCAGGGGTGAGCTTTCTATTTCTCCGTGGAATGATAATGTCTATCTTTTCCAGTTTAGTGATTGCGATGATCGGGATAAAGTTCTTAGCGACAGCCCGTGGTCGGTTATGGGAAAGTTATTAGCTCTCCAGCCACTGCAAATGGGCCACACAGTGGAAGAAATAGAGTTTCGGTGGTGCCCGTTCTGGGTCCAAGTTCATGGTCTGCCCCTAAACAATCTTACTCAACAAAATGAAGAACTTCTGGGTAATAGAATTGGCCGTCTTGTGCGAGTTGAAGCACATACAGAAGGGTTGTTACTCTCTCGAAATTTCTTACGTATTCGGGTTGAGATTGATACTCAACAGCCTCTACCACAAGGCCTCTGGCTTCAGCGGTCTAAGGAGGGATGTGACTCCTGGCTTACTTTCAAATATGAGAAACTTTCTGATTATTGCTATGATTGTGGCCGTTTAGGGCATGAAAGCAATGCTTGCAAATTCGTATCCAAGGAACAAGGAGCTTCTTCTGGTTTTGGTCCCCACCTGAGAACCGGCACAGCCCCCCCTACTGGCTTTGAGCATTATCGCCGGAAAGCTGATGAGTTGGAACGAAGGGTGAGCTCCGGTCTGAAGACCATCAATCCAACCCCTGACCCGCCTGCATCTCCGACGGCGCGTGCCCATCCTAGCATTGAGCTCCGACCTCCCCAACGGCTGAACCCCTCAATTCCACTATCCCGTACTGAGCCATGCACTGATCCTCTGTCTTTCCAACGCCTTGCTAGTGGGGAGATGCCAGGTGGAGCTCCCTCTAACCCACCTCCTGTCCTTTCACCGCAGGCCACTACCCCAGAATTGGGGCCACAGAATCGTCATGCGCATTCGAAGCGGGCTGAAGGACATGGGTCGGATCAGAATCTGGGCCTTGTATCCACACAGGGCTCCACGGGTAAGGGCCCTTTAGAACCCCTGGATCAACCCAGCTATTATGTGATTGAACCTCCAGATAGCCCAATTAGTGGGCCAGCCCAATCTGCGGGTAGTGTGGCCAATACAGAGGTGATACAACAACTGACCCTGACAGGCCCAATTCTTTCTCCTTCACCCACCCAGCCACCATCTCTGTTAGATGGGCTCCTCTCTACGGCTCTGACTCAGTTATCTCTTAAGAGGAAGGAGGTTGATGTGGATAGCTCAGATTTGCCCCAGGCGAAGTGTTTGCGGAAGGAAGGTCAATTTCATCCTAAGCAGCGAGTGCTCCAAATTGCTCTGCCTCCACCTAATATTGAGCTCCACAAGCCACCAGTGAACCGGGGAAAAGCTAGGGCGGGCAAGAGAGGCAGCCATCGTGCACGCAGAAGTATTTCGACAAATCGAGGTTTGATAGATGTGCACATTGCTGCGGCAGAGGCAACTCCAACCGCTGAGGTCATCTATCCGGTAAGTGTTCATACCAGCTATAAAATATCTGATGAATCTCTCTCCAAGGAGTCAATTCCATGTCATACTGGGAACTTATCTGCCAACAACTGGGCTGTGGTGGCGAGCCCTAAAGCGCCACAAGGGTCATGCTAATCATCAGCTGGAACTGTCAGGGGATGGGGCGACCCCTGACTTTCCAGATCTTACGAGGGTTATGCATAACCCATCGCCCCTCAATAATTTTCCTCATGGAAACCAAAAACCAGCAACTGGTGCTAGAACGATTGAGAAGGAGGCTCAACTTCCCACATAAAAGTTATGTTGATCCTATTGGGCTGTCAGGTGGTTTAGCTCTTTGGTGGACAGACAAAGTGGACCTGCATGTTAGCTATAAGTCGGCCAACATTTTTAAATGTTTAATGGGTAGGGGAACAACATCGTCTAGTTGGCTTGCTACCTTTGTGTATGCCCTATCCCGTTGGATTGACAGGAGAGTTTTTTGGCAATCTCTAAAAAATCTGACTGCAGGAAATACCTATCCTTGGGTGTGTTTGGGGGACTTAAATGAAATTGGTTGGTCGTGGGAGAAGCAGGGGTCAGGACGATGTAGTAGAGCTCGGATGCAAAGTTTTCAAGAGTTACTATCGCATTGTGAACTTATGGATCTAGAATTTAAAGGGGCCCCATATACTTGGACAAACAACCAGCAAGGTATTCATAATGTGCGAGAAAGATTGGATAAAGCTTTTGCAACAGTGAGTTGGCGCCAGAAATTCCCTTATGCACAAGTACACCATGAGGCATTGATAGGGCCCGATCATTGCCCTCTTCTGTTACATTGTCATATTCCACCTACGAAGATACCTCATCTATTCAAATTTGAATCTATGTGGACTACTAGCCCTGAATGCTCAGAAATTATCCAATCAAATTGGGGTGAGGACCGGGCTGATTCATCCATGCTTCACTTTTCCCAGCAGCTCCAGAGATGTAGCAAAGGTCTATCCAGGTGGAGTAAGGCTAAATTTGGGGATAACCGCATTCGAATTGCTGCTCTAACAAACTTAATCCAAGAACTTCAAGGCCAACCTTTCTCTGATGATACTCATGTGCAAATTCAGAGGCTTTAACAGGATCTTGCCGCCGTATGGGCCCGAGAGGAGATGTTCCAGCATCAAAGGTCTAGAACCAATTGGCTGCAGTATGGTGACAAAAACACAGCTTTCTTTCATGCTACAGTTATCCAACGACGGCAACAGAACCAACTGGTCAAGTTAAAAACTGATTCGGGGGAATGGTGCGAGACGGAAGCTACTATCAATGACCAGCTCCTATCTCACTTTCAGAATCTGTTCCGAGCAACCGAAGGTAGAGATTTGTCGAAAGCCCTAGCAGTTGTGGAATGTGAGGTCTCTGAAGCAATGAATTTGGCTCTGACTACACCTTTCACTAATGATGAAATCAAGGCAGCAGCTTTTCAATTGGGTCCACTCAAAGCCCCGGGACCGGATGGCTACCCAGGTATTTTCTATCAAAAGCACTGGTCTGTAATTGGACGATCTCTCTGTGCTGCCATCCGCAGCTTTTTTGATGGAGGGCCTGTTTTGAGAGATTGGAACCATACGAATATAGTCCTCATTCCGAAGGTGCCCGCCCCAGAAACTCTGCACCAGTTTAGACCTATCAGCTTATGTAATTTCAAGATGAAAATTATCACAAAGATTTTAGCGAACAGGCTTAAGCAAGTGCTTCCCCAGCTAATCACACCAGCTCAGTCAGCCTTTGTGCTGGGGCGCTTGATCCAAGACAACATTCTTGTGGCGCATGAAGCTTTCCACTTCTTAAGACATAAAAAGAGGGGTCGACAAGTGGATTTAGCTCTGAAACTGGACTTTAGCAAAGCCTATGACAGGATTCAATGGGATTTTCTAGAAGCCGTGCTCCGAAAAATGGGGTTCAATGAGCAGTGGATTCGGTGGGTTATGGAGTGTGTTACGACCGTCAGCTTCTCAATTATGGTTAATGGTGCAAAGCGGGCGACCTTCAATCCAACCTGTGGGATCAGACAAGGGGATCCCCTATCCCCCTACCTTTTTCTGATAGTGGCGGATGTGCTGTCCAAACTAATCATTCGTGGCATTCACTCTGAGACCATATCAGGAATCCGAATGAGTAGGTTCTGTCCGCATCTCTCCCATTTGCTTTTTGCGGATGATGCTATTCTGTTTTTCCGAGCTAGTAACCTCGAGTGCCAGAACATGCTCTAGATCCTTCATGTTTACAGCAAGGCCTCGGGCCAACTCCTCAACTTTGAAAAATCTGAGCTGATTTTCTCTGCAAATGCGGATGAAGCTGCAAGAGAGCGTGTTTGTAGGACTATGGGTATCAATCGTGCGAGACCAAATGTTAAATATTTGGGTTTGCCTTCAGTGTGGGGTCGATCTAAGGCTGCGGCTTATGGTTATTTGCTTGAAAAAATGGCTGCTAAGATGCAAGGGTGGAAGAATCATCTTTTATCACATGCCGGGAGAGAGGTCCTCATTAAAGCCATTGTGCAAGCTATCCCTTCTTATGCAATGGCGTGCTTTTTCTTCCCTCAGAATTTTTGTCAGAAGATGGACGCGTTTATTCGTAATTACTGGTGGAAAGGAGACCCAGGTGAGCGAGGCATCCATTGGGAAAAGTGGACAGCTATGTGCATATCCAAACACGAAGGTGGCATGGGATTTCGAAACTTTTCTCATTTCAATCAAGCACTTCTTGCGTGACAAGGCTGGCGACTAATAAACTCTCCCAACTCTTTCTGGGCTAGGATGTTCAAAGGGCTTTATTACCCTCATTCGGATTTTTTACAAGCAGTTAGAGGGGCTAGAGCTTCTTGGGCATGGTCAAGTTTGTTGAAAGGCCGGGAGTTACTTTTAAAAGGGTGTCGTTGGCAGATTCACAATGGGCAGTCCGTGCGCTTCTGGGATGATCGCTGGATACCAACTCTCACCAATTTTAAGGTCTCATCCCTTCAACCCCCAGGAAGTGGTATTGTCATGGTTTCGGATGCCATAGACCCTGCACCTAAACTATGGAAAGTTGCGGTCCTGCGCACACTTGTTTCATGTGAGGAATTGCAAGCTATTCGGTCCATTCCAGTGCCTTTTATCGATCAGGTAGATACTCTCATTTGGCATTACACCAAGTCGGGAACATACTCTGTTAAGTCTGGGTATCATTTGGCTCGCAAGTCTTCGGATAATCATCTCTCAAGGCAACCTTCATCCTCCTTCCTTCTTCCTCAAGGTTTTTGGAAACAAATTTGGAACCTGCAAATTCCCCCAAAAATCCGACACTTTTGGTGGCGATCCTGTAAAAATATTTTGGCAACTAAGGCAAATTTGGCAAGACGTCGGTGTGCAACCTCCAATCTATGTCCAATCTGCCATAAAGATGTGGAAACAGTAGAACATCTGCTTTTTGACTGTGCATGGACCAAGGCAATCTGGTTTGGTAGTATGTTGAATTTTCGGCTGGAACCTGGATCTATTACAAATGTAGCGCATTGGACAGCTGCATGGTGGGAAAACGGGCTGTTTACAGATTCTGGAAAGGAAACTCTAAGCCGAATTGCTTTGATTGGCTGGTATATATGGAAGGCTCGCAATGACTTCATCTTCAACTCAGTGCCTGTTAACCCATCTGACACAATCCAAAGAATACACCAAGGTTGGAATGAATATTTTCTACAGGGTGGGGCAGAGACCATAGTACCACTGGCTGATAACACCATGGCCGTCGGCACTGCCTCTGGATGGACTCCCCCTCGGGTGGGGACTGTTAAAGTAAATTGTGATGCCTCCTTCCACCGGTCTTCGGCCAAAGCTTCCGCAACAGCTATCATGAGGGATTCTAAGGGCCAGTTTATTGATGGGATTGTCACCTCCTTCTTTTCAGCATCAGCCCCTGCAAGCTGAAGCTGTTGCGGTGCGTCTAGCATGCCGTTTGGTCCAGATGCATGGGCTTTCCTTGGCCGACATCGAGAATGACAACCAAGAACTCATCCACCTGTGTGTGTCCGAAACAGTCCCTCCATGGGAGATCATGGCAGTTGTGGCTGATATTCGCAGTCTTGCAAGGGACAGAGCTTGGAAGTTCATGTGGACCCGAAGGACAAACAATTCTGCTGCTCACTGGGTGGCTACTGCTCATTCTAGGTCAACACTTCCTGCTAGTTGGGTCACATGTGTGCCACAAGACTTTGCTTATGTTCTTTCCCATGATGTTCCTGCTCATCTTTAATTCTCTGCTTGTAGTTTCCTACTTGTTCAAAAAAAAAAAATGAGTTTTGGATTTTCAATTTTCTAAAAACTATTTTCAAAATGTACAATCAAACAAATTTTCAAAATTTAAAAGGTCTTTTCACAAAATTATCTTTCAAAATTGATTATGAAAATCAAACCAAATGGACCGTGCAACTCCGTAAAGTTCCTAACACAAAAGGGGAATGTATTTTCAATAAAATTATTTGAGATATCAAGAATCTTAATCTTGGCACTTTCCCTTGAAATTGATTACTACTGAAGTCAATCATCTTAAATTTGTTTTCTTTATTGTATGAGTGAGGAATGGGACAATAAAGTTGTTTCATCTTGGGCTATGTTTGTTTCATGGTAATGAAGGTTGGAATGGAATGCTCGTTCCATTGGAATAACCATTTCGTTGTTTGGTTACCTAAAAGAAATAAGGAGTAGGCATTCTAAATGGAATAACCATTCACTAATACGAATTAATGAGTATTTTGTTTCAAACACTATGGAATAGCTATTCCATTCCTTTACCTTTTCTTTATCGGGATAGAAATTGCCCTCATTTCATTTCAACAGGATTCGCGATTGAGGCTTCGATATAGAGCTTGGTATCTCTCTCTCTCTCTCTCTCTCTCTCTCTCTCTCATTGCTTGTAATTGATCCCTGGTTTTTTAATCTGCAGGAAAGTTGAATCCAGGGTTTTGATTTTTGATCTGTTATGTTGATTCAACAAGTTTAGATATAGGTTTTGGGTTTTAACCCAAGTAATATTATGTATTTCTAGGGTTTTGGTTTTATGTTCTCTATAGATTTTGTGTTTTATGTTCTAGTTTGTAGTTGAAATTTACATTCCTTCATTGGTCTTTGTCTTGTCTCAATTGTCTTTTTCCCTAAATGTCGAAGGAGTTCAGAAGCAATAGAAGAAAAATGTTGACAACAACGAAGAAATCGATGTCGAACGCTTGCGTACCTGAGGAAGTATTGATTGAAATTCTTGCTAGACTACCTGTGAAGTTGCTGAACCACACATTTTTTGAAGTCTAGCGGGGCGGCTTGGAGTCATGGCAGGGCAGTGCAGTATGGGTGGCGGTTTCAAAATGCCAACCCACGGGGCAGTGCACTTGGCATTCCAACCAAGTGTATTTTAATAAACATACGCTCACACACACCCAATCACTTCTCATTTAAACCTAATTCACATTCTCTCTCATATAAGGTTACATATCACGCCTCTCGCCTCCCCCTTCCTCTCTCGTTGAGTAGCTGCTCACATTCGTGATCCCTCTTGCCACCGATCACTACTGGCACTCTCTCTCTATCTCTTAAATCTTTGAATATTGTATAGATTTTTATGGGATTTTGTATAGATTGTAAACTTTCCTACTTTTATTTGATTCAATCATTTTATGGGTATTTTTCAACTTTTTTTTTTTATGTCATTTTCTTGTTCTATTTTTCTTTTTTGCTAGTTTTGTTTGTTCAATGACATAAACTAATAGTTATTGCTAGTTTTGTTTTGCTAATTTGAAATTTTGGGGTTTTTTTTTTTTTTTTTTTGACAATGTAACAAAGTTTGACAAATTGTTAGTATTGAAATGGATTAAGAAATGTTGAGTTTAAATTGATAAGATTAAAGTTTCAGGATTTGATTTGATATTATTGTCAAAATTTGAGATTTTTTTAAATAAATTTTTTAATTAAAATTATAAACTTTTCCATACATATCTAATAATTGTTTCAAATTATCACTACAGGTAATTTCTCTTAAAATATTGCTTGTTAATTAATTAATTTATTTATTTATTTTTGGGGTTCAAAATTGTTTCTATGATTTGTTTGGATAAGAATTAAATTGACATTTGATTTAATAAACATCCTACTAATGTGTATTTATTTTGGAAGAAATTAAAAGAAATAAATAAAACAAAAATTGGAGTTCGATTCTTATAGCAAAATATATTCTAACAAATTATTTCTTGATTTATATAAATCATTTTTAATTTTGTTAATTTGCATTTTAATATTTTGAATTATTTTCAATGTAAATCATTCACCTATTTCTGTTAAATAAAATTGATAAAAAATAATATCTTAAGACCCCCACTGGGGGTCTGAGGCATTTTTGTTCACCAAAAGCAAACACAAGACTACGATGACGACGACGAACAAGTTCAGAAGCAAGAGAAGAAAAATGACGACGATGACGAAGAAATCAATGTTGAATGCTTTCATACCTGAGGAAGTCTTGATCGAAATCCTTGCTAGACTAGCTGTGAAATCTCTGCTTCGATTCAGGCCAATCTGCAAATGTTGGTACTACTTAATCACCAACCCAAGTTTCATCACCACACACCTTAATCGAACTAAATCAAACCACAGTCACAAACTACTCATCAAGTTCAACTATGAGAATCGAGATCGTTGCTTCTCATTTACTAATGATGAGACGTCTGGCAATGAGTTTGTGAAACTTGAATACCCATTTCAAAACTACGACGAATTGTTCAAGATTGTTGGTTCATGTAATGGCTTGTTGTGCTTATCAGATTATAATGGCTCAGACTATGCTGTTCTATAGAAGCCATCAATTAGGAGATTCATGACACTTCCTAAGTCTGGTTCTTCTGTAAACAAGGCTCATCGATTGCGTTGGTTTGATTTTGGATTTGGGTTAGACCACATGAGTAATGACTACAAAGTGGTGAAAATTGTGTGCGCAAAGGATAACCATCACCGCTATGTTGTGCATAGGGTGGAGCTTTTAGCACTGGTTCTTGGAGATCCGTTTGTATTGGTGATTTATGTTATGAACATTACGGTTTTGATTCCTTGCCTATGTTTTTGAATGGGGCTGCTCATTGGGTTGTATTTAATCTAAGAATGGATTGTGTTTGCATTTTGGCATTTGATATAGTCGAAGAGGTGTTTAGGGAGATAGCTTTGCGAAACCATCAAATTGATGTGATTCTCCGAATCGATGTGTCTATTACAGTATTGGGCAAGTCACTTGCTGTAATCCTCTGTGAAGCTGTTTTTACTTCTGTGAAAATGATTGGGACTAACCATGTATGGGTGAAGGAAGAATATGGTGTCATAGAGTCATGGACTAAAGGATGCAGAAAGATTGGGAAGCAAAGATGGTTGACATTATTGGGTTCTAGGAAGAATGACGATGTCTTAATGGTTCAAGATGGATTACTGGGGCCTCGGGAGTTGGTTTCATGTGATACAAAAAGCTACCAAATCAAGCATCTCGGGCTCTATGGCGACTCATTTTATGTTAAAACTTATATGGAGAGCTTAGTTGCACTAGATGTAGTTGACGGAGTCTAGAAATCACACGTGCGTCCCAATTTCTCTTGAAGGGTTTTCCAACAAGGAAGCATTGTGTAGTACTTTAATCGTTACAGTTTGCCACATTTAATTGTTATAGTTTGTCATTTTGTTGTTCTTAGATACTTTGTGTTGGATTTTCGAGTTACATATGAATAGCTACTTTGCATCAGTATTCTTTTTCCTAAATGCACTATTGTTCTCATATTCAAGTCGGGATATCAATTTAATATTTTGCGTCATATTGTTGTCAAAAGTATCTTTGTGTATGTAATAAAGTCAAGAGGGGAATTCATATTTAGATCCTAGCACGTTAACATTTTCAGTATCTCACATAGGTTGACTCCCTTTATAAAGGTTGTTGCGGGATCAGTGGATCAATTAAAAGAAATGAGGAAGAATTTAAAAGTAGAATAATGGTTAAATTAATAGAGATGGTGAAGGGACTGAATATGAAATGGGTTGAATCCAAGCCTTGGGCCGGCCCAATTGTGGACTCGCCTTTTTCTGCACCCCTGCCTTTCAAAAAGGTTTTGAAAAGAAGGCCTCATAGTTCGGACTCCCACGGTTCTGAATCTAGTCTTACAAGTGCAATGTGAAACTGATAAACAGCAAAGAGTCCAATCCGGCAAACCTTTTTGAAAAATCGATTTTAAATCAAATAATGCCAAAATTAGACTGCTTTGCCAGATTACAAAGTCGCCACTTAAATATTTTATTTTGAAAAAATTTAGGAAACCTTGACTCGTGCCAAAGGCCACGTGTCCATCCTCACCAAAGTTGCCTTGGCTCGAGAACTTAGGTAAGAAGGGCGAAGGTCATGAAATGAGCACCTCCGCTCGCCCGATCAAAGATCGGCCTCTACTAATCATGATATGTTTTTTATAAACATTATGTGCTTTTGTTCCAGTTATTAGCTAACTTTACTATCTGATGTACACAAACAAGTATAGACTAAAATTGCAAGAATTGGAACATCTCAACTCATGTTTGTTTTGCGAAAATGATTTGAATTTGCCACCCTCAAGTAAGCTTAAAGATGCAGACTTGCCACCAAATATAGTGGGCTTAAAACATGATTTGCCACAACAAAGTGGGCTTTAAAACACTCATTCGTTGAATCGTTCCAATTCAAACAATCAAGCCTTCATCTATAGGCATTTATGCAGTTTGGCATTTGAGCACATAGCCTCATGGCAAGCATGCTAAACATGGCAATATGGCAATCACACTCATGCAAGTATGCTAAAGCATAAAACTTACAGAGTACTCCAAGCCAAAACAAAAACTAGTTAGAAAGATGTATGATCCTAACTATGTTAAGGAAAATGAGTGGGAGCACTAATTAGTGCCACCACTAATGATGTGGCAGTGGGTGCCACAATTTTGTTGTGTCTTTTGTTTTTGTTGAAAAAGTGGGTGCCACATCATTAGTGGATGCTTTAAAGCACCACTTTTAGTGGTCTCTAGCATTGCCCCTATGTTAAATGACTAATGTAACGCATGCAATGATGTAACTAAATAGGCTCGACTACTTAATCATGGTATTTGCAACACTTTTATAGCATGCTTTGAAACACGTATTCAAAGAAGTATTGAATTGACAATGCAGTTTGAATGATTTGCCGAGCCTCAGTGCATGTAAGACAAATGAATGGATGCAAACATGCAAGCATAAGGTATGCTAATTGAAAATGTCCCTAAACTAACCATCAAAAGCGGTTAAATAAAAAGGAAGAAAGACGTGGGGTTGGAAGACATACACACACGCACGCACACTTTTTACAATGTTATGCCCTCACAAAGGAGGGTCCAAATGAATAAGCTAACTATTACAAAACGAATTAATTAACTATTTTAGTTAACCATCATTACAAAGCGAATTAAGCTAATTAATTACAAAACGAATTAATTAACTAATTAGTTATAACATATGTATGAATGAATTAGCTACAACTAACTAATTTAAGCAAAGCAAGTAAATGGCCTCGAGGGGCGAGGGATGCATGCATGCTCGACTTCTTCACCCAAAAATGCTACCGCCTTGCCATTGCAGCCTTTGTTTGCACATTTTTGACCACTGAAAATTGTGCCAACTCCTAAAACACTTCTGATCTCCTTTAGGAGCAGACAGAGCAACCTTCTTTATTGATGGCAGATTGGCTACCAATAGTGGCCGTCAGCTACCATTGGTGGTTGATCGGCTGCCAATGGTGGCTGTCAGCTACTATTGGTGGCCGGTCGGCTGCTACTAGTGGCTGTCGGCTACTACTGGTGGCCGGTCAACCGCCCCTGCCCTGAACTTCTTTTTGCTGCAACAGAGAGCAAACAAAGGCAAATCAGTGTATTCTCAGCATGTTTTTGCTACTGTTTTGGTAAAGGGTTAATGTGCAAAAGTGTAGAAAAAACTAACTACAAGGCACAAAATAAGAGGAGAGAGAGAGAGAGAGAGAGAGAATTTTTAACTAAAATGTCTAACCCCCTAAAATAGGGGAGGACACCCCCTATATATAGAAAATCAAGGTTTGAGCTTGTATTCATCCTACCATACACATGTATGAAAATGCAATTCAGTAGCAACAGTAGGCACAGTTGGCAAACAAATATCTGAAAAAGGAGACCAATGGCCGTCGGCCACCACCAGTGGCCGACAAGGTCTAGGGCTGGCCGACAGGTCACCCTACCTTCTAGGCAAGAGGCAACAAGCTCTTGGTCCAAAAACATGCACAAAACAGCAAGGTTTTGAGGCTCAAAGACAAGGCATTCGGCCGGGGACTTCAGGTGATCAAAACGAACTCAAACAAGGATAATCATCGAGTGTGCAAACGATGACGTCCAAGTCTTGAGGATGGTCAAAAATGGGGTGTCTACAGTTGCCCCTCTTTGACATAACTAGGAAGTCATGAAATGACGTAAGTGAATGTCAATGCCCAGTGACGACCTATTTTTGACAAGGCCAAAGACTTGGACAAATAGATGAGCAAAACCAAGAATGGTTGCGCCCCCAGGCTGCCTACGTATCCTTTTGCAAGGAATCAAACCAGCGTAGTTCTGGGGCAAGATGCAAATGATATGCATGATGCAAGAACATAACTTATGATCATGCAATGAGGCTGTAATGAAACATCTAGATGCAAGTGCCATGCAAAGAAATGCTACAGCAATCTCATATACGGAAGAAGAAAGTAAACACACCACATGTGAGAATCACAAGCCTAACCACATTTCATGTAGAAAGGATGTAAGCAAATTATACAATCTTAACTACATATCATGCAGGAAAGGCAAAGAATAACACAAAAGTCGGGCGCACCCGAGGCATCAAACAAGATTCCAACGCGTTGCACGCGTAAGGAAAGAGGGGATAGTGTGAACACCGGGGCACACCCAAATGTTTTTTTTTTTTTTAAAAAAAACCGAAACGTCCTAACGTGTCGCATGCGAGAAGAGAATGAGGCAACGAAAACACCGGGACGCACCCAAATGTCTCTAACCGAAAGCGTCCTAACACGTCGCATGCGAGAGGAAAAGGGGTAACGAGAACATCGGGACGTGCCCAAATGTCTCTAACCCGAAAGCCTCCTAACGAGTTGCACGCGAGAGGAGAAAAGGCATCAAGAACATTGGGACATGCCCAAATGTCTCTAACCTGAAAGAGTCCTAACGCGTCGCACATGAGAGGAGAAAAGGCAACGAGAACATCGGGACACGCCCAAATGTCTCTAACCCGAAAGAGTCCTAATGCATTGCACGTAAAAAGAGAAAAGGCAATGAGAACATCGGGACGCGCCCAAATGTCTCTAACTTGAAACCGTCCTAACGCGTCGCATGTGAAAGGAGAAAAGGCAACGAGAACATCGGGACACGCCCAAATGTCTCTAACTTGAAACAAGGTGTTCGAAGGACAGGAATGATCTCACCTAGAATTCCTCTGAATGAACCGTACATACAATATCATGCCTACATAAGAAAGAAACTCAACAAGCATAACAAAGAAAAAGTGCATGTTCCATGCACAATAAACAAAAGCATGTTCAGTGACAGCATGTTCTGTGGGAGTGTAGTGACAGCATGTTCTATGCGAGATGAATTGGAAGCACGTTCTATGCAACAAGGGGCAAGTGCATGCTCCATGTAAGAATAGCCAAAAGCATGTTCTATACGAGGTAAATTGGAAATTGAAGCATTCTATGCAAGTTCTCATGTGAAAGGCACGTTTCATGCAACGAAAAAGAAATGCGCGTTCTATGCAATGACAAAAGCGTGATTGATAAAAACGATTCAATCACAACTTTTGAGTTACCTCTCGAAAGAGTTGCAATATGTTTTAAAAAGGATACACCTCATCCATGTTGAGTAGTGAGGAGCCATGCACCGAAGACACGGTTCAGAGCTTCCGCAGAGACACTTTAAGCTTAAAAGTGAACTTTTCTTGCACTTTCTCGAGAACTAAGGTTACAAAACAGCAGCAAAACACACAGAGAGGGCACTGGAGGCCTGTCAGCCACCTTGGAGGGATGTCGGCCACTTGTTGGCTACACATGGACATTGTCGGCCACAAATGGTGGCCGTCGGCCACCGATGGCAATTCGGGCCATTTTAGTCATTTTGCATACGGGTCTTTAAGTACACATCTCCAAGCCTCATTTCTTCACATCTCCCTAGCCGAAATTGACTTCTCTTCCTCTCTAGACACTTTTCCCCCCTAGATCCGTGCTTTATACACATTTTCCAACACCCCATGCGAAGTTGATTCACTAAATCCTCTTGATTTCCTTCGTTTTGAACTAGTTGGAATTTGTTTTCAGCGCTTTTTTCTTCATTTTCGCCACTTGAGGCTTGTTTCCCTTGAGTTACTCTTGGGTTCTATGCCTTTTCCCGAGCTTTGACTTTTTCTCCCATTTTCTTTCCCCTAGAGTTGACTTTTGGTATTCTCCACCCCTTTTGCTCATTTTTGCCCCCATTTTCACCTTCTTTCCAGATGGCAGACGACATTCCCC